CCCTGTGGGATCAGACTCCAGCTGGGTTTGGGGGCAGCCCTGTGGGACCAGACCCCGGCCGGGTTTTGGGGGGCTGCCCTGTGGGATCTGACCCCAGCCAGGGAAAAGGGGGGCACCTGGCTGCCCTGGTTGGGGTCAGACCCCCCAGGCCTATGTCTCACCGGCTCCCCCCATCCTTGTTTTACGGAGGCTGAAGAACATCAAGACCAGTGAGGCGTACAAGGCGGTCTGGGGCAACACCCAGGACGGGGTGGTCTCCACGCAGCCCTCGCGGGTGGCAGACGAAAGGGAGCAGATGGTCATGAGCGGCGACTACATCCACAGGTAGGACCAGCAGGACCCGCCCCCAGGCGCCTCCAGGGGGCTGAGCCCAGCTGGGCCCCCTGGGGCTGGGAGCCCATCGGCTGGTGTCCCACTGGAAGGAAAAGGAGTGGGGTGGGTGGCTCAGGGAGAGGTGCTCTCGCCGGGGACACACACACCCCAAACCCCTTAGGTTATTTGCATCTGGGGGGGACTCAAGACCTGACCCCCCCACCCCAGGTTCTTGAGACAGTCCGGTGGGGTTCTGGACCATCAGAGACTCCATGCTTCAGCGTGGTGTTAGGGGGCAGGATGGGGTGCTCTCCCCTCAAAGTTGTTGCTGGCCTCGATGGAGAGGGGCTCGGAAAAGACGGCCTGGCTGGGGAGCGGTCCTGAATGGGGAAGGAGCGGGAATCCAAGGTCTAATAAAGCCCATAGAGATGCAGTCGCTGGCTAAACCTCTCCCTCTAGTGGCTGCAGCCTGCATAGAGGATAACAGCCTGCTACTGCCCCCTCGCAGAGGGAGCTACTCCCTTAGCCCAGGCGGCAGAGAGGCTGGTGCTGTTAGTGCTTAGGGTCAGAGCAGGACGCTCCCCACCTTACGGGAGGGGCCGGATCTTCCAGAATAACGAATGACGCGCGGGAGGACGAGATGGAGGAGAACCTGCTACAGGTGGGAAGCATCCTGGGCAACTTGAAGAGCATGGCGCTGGACGTGGGCAACGAGATCGACATCCAGAACAAGCAGGTGGAGAAGATCATGGAGAAGGTGAGCGCCGCGCGGCCACACGCCCGCCTGGAGACGCAGCCTTTGGGCAGGAGCCCGGTTGCCTGCAGGGGGCGACAAAGGAGTGGGATGCTGTAGGGGGCTGGAGATGGGACAGTGTCTTGCCCCCACTAAGGAGCCAGGCTGAGAACCCCCATCCAGCTCGGTTCACTGCTCGGCCACCAGCTGCTCCCCGGCCCAAGGAGGGTGGGCTACCAGCCGAGCACGCTCACCCGGTGCCACGCGCTTGTGAATCGTGCGCTGCATCCCGCTCCAGCTGGCGGATAATGGCCCAGCTACTGCTGCTGGCCGAAGGAGCGACTCCCTCCTTGAATTCAAGGTGCAGAGAAAGGCTGCTAGGAGCGTGGGGGGAAGGGAGGAGTCGAGCCCGGCAAAACGCAGGCCGAGCGGGGAGCTGAGGGCTGTCTAGAAATACCCCAGGAAGATAAGGTCTGGAAGCTAAAGGCACCAGAAGAAATGGGATTAAATTGGGCTGTGATTGGCTGAGGGTGGAGATTAGGAGCAGGTTTCTAAGCACCAGAGGGTGGAGGGTTTGGGACAGTAGAAGGGACGGGGGCTGGGGGGGCAAACAACAAAACTGGGTCAAAGATGGGGCGTGATCAGTGTCTGATGGGGTCGGCAGGGGATGGGATTGGAGGACCCAGCGATCCCTTTCCGGGGCCATGTTCAAGTGGGAGAGGGCTGGGCTGGGCTTCCGAGCGGGGGAGTCCTGGGTTCAAAACCCCCTGGCGGCGGCCAGCGAGGGGGTAGGCCCAGCGCTCCCAAGCCGTCCCCGCCCGCCTGCTGGGGAATTAGGTTCTTAGGTTGCTGTGGGTGGGTTTGCAGCCCCTAACAGGGAGCCGTGGCCTCCCGAGTTGTCTCCTCCCCTCCACCTGGATCAGGGCATGAGCCCGTTCCACCGCCGCCTCCTCTCCCCGCAGGTCACCGTGAACGAAGATCGCATCCAAGAAGCCAACACCCGGGCCAAGAAGATTCTAAAAAATGCCTGAGACGCCGCGCCACGTGCTCTCCCGCTTCGCTGCCCCCCCCACCCCGGCTCCCGGTCGCAGCTGTCCGTCCGTCCGTCCGTCCCTGCTGTCCAACCTGCCCTGGAGTCTCTGGCGCCGTGCGTTAGGTGGAGCCGCGGATGTTCGGGGGGCGGGCGTAGGGTGTGTGCATTGCCATTGCACTTAGCGGATAACAGCCTTACTATTGCAGCCAGCTAGGGGAGCTCCTCCTGTAGCTCCAGTGGGAGAGGGCTGTCCCTGGGTGCTGAAGGTGATAGGCTCAGTGGCAGCTGGGGGGGGGAGTATGCTATAGACACGGTGGCTCTATTTTCAAACGGCCACAGCCCTGCCTCCCATGGGACCCTAATCTCCCCCACCCCTCCTCTTGTGATTGGGTCCTCATGCCCCGCACCCGCTCCTGCCACCCATGCCCCTACCCTGGAGGCTCCTCCCCTTGGCTGAGATGGGTTTTCCCAGGGGCAGGTAATGAGTGCTGGGGGAGGGCCAGTCAGCTGTGGGATTGGGCAGGACTCTGCCGTCTGGAGAGAAATGGGGGTAGGGGAGGGGGTGAGAGGGAGACAGGGATTTTCTTTTGTGTTATCCCAGCCAACGTTGGGTTCTGAGCAGCCTATGATTTTATGACGCATGTTAACCTGTGGAACTCCACGCCACAAGATATTAATAATCCCTAGATCTCAAAGCACTTTACAAAAGGGCGTGGTGGTGTCAGTATCACTATCCCCATTTTACAGATGGGGAAACTGAGGCACAGAGAAGGGAAGTGACTTGCCCAAGCTCACCCAGCAGGCCAGTGGCAGAGCTGGGAATAGATCCCAGGTCTCCTGAGTCCCACTCCAGTGCTCTATCCACTAGGCCACGCTGTTCTGAAGAAAGCCCATATATCAACTGACACAAATGCTTCAGTAGCTAAATGAAGCCAAACAGGATTGATGGGACAGCTGAATCAGAGAGGGGTCAGGCTAGAGAATTGCCTGGTTCAATTCTCCACTCCATCCTTCCCTGTTAACCTGTGGAACCCCCCACCACTGGATACTTGCAGACATTTCATTAACTAACTGAAGAGAAACAGGAGTTATGGGAGAGATGAATCAGAGAATGGGAACTATAGGAGATTTCCCTGGTTCCATTCCCCCTCCA